TCCTCCTCTTACACCACTCAGCCACTTCGTAAAAGGTGTAGTTTCTCTTTACAGTACGTTTTGCCACCTTTTAGTTGAAAATAAACTGCAAAACAAAGTTGTTGTTTTTTGCCAGTAAGAAAGGATCATTCACACAGTGGTTCCCAACCCAGGTCCTTGAGGAACACCAACCTGCATGTTTTAATTGTTGTCTTGCTCCAACACACCTGGTTCAGTGATTTAATTACTTCCTTATGTTTTGCGAAAGCCTGTTAATCACCCAGATGTGTCAAAGCAGGAAAACAACTAAAACATGTAGGATGGTGTTCCTCAAGGATCATAGTAGGGAACCACTGGCTTAGGCCAAAAAATAATAATAATAATAATTGAGAATTCCTTTCCTACTTCCATTTCAAATTTTGCCCGCGAACATTGCATATCCACATGACAGGAATTTGATTGGTTTTACGTCTGTAGCAGCAGAGGCAACAAAGCTGATTGGTCAGTTCTTTCTTTTTTTTTTCCTTGTCCTGTCCATCATTGTGACACTCAGAATTATTGTCTGAGTGTCAAAGTGATGCCCAACAGATTTACTTTCACAAGCAGAGCATTATGGCTGGCCTTAATGCTTCACTTGATATATAAATAAAACTTTATTAGAATTTGCTTTGGGTTTGTTTCAGATGTAATGGACACGGGGATGAAAAACAAAGAAGAAAACAAAGCAGAAAAGTGGGAGAAGGGTTAAAAGGTAAAGAAGGAGATAGGAAGAGAGGAGAGAGAGGTATAAAGAAAACACAAGTCATCATAATTGAAAGTCTGCCTCTAGACCTGCGGAAAGAAAAAAACAAGACAAAACCGAGAAACCACAACAACAAGCAACATATATAATGATACTTATAACATCATTAGAAAGTATTTTATACAGTACATGGTAATACAAGATGGATTATTGGCCACCACAACCCAACTGAGTGTATATCTGATAAACACCTGAATCTAAACACCTGTGTGAGCATGCTTGTCACTATAAGGTTTCTCCATAAAAATGTTCAATAGTGAATGTGGGGATCCACAGACCCGTCCCCACAGGACACGATGGTAACACAGGAAAGACCGGAGCCACAGACACACAGCGGTCCCCAAGCCCGGAGCTCCGGGAGTCCCCCAATAGGAACAACCACACTCCACAGAGTGAGAAGCAAAGGGAAGCCCCAGGCGATCCCCAGCAACCACAATGCAGAAATCCCAGGAGGCTGCAGCGACGAGTCCACAGGCCCTGCCGGCAACCCGCCCCTCCAGAGTAGATCCGGTCATGGACACCGAGTTCTGAGGAGTCCCGACAGAGCCAGGGCACCCAGGCCCCAGCAGGCACCCACCAGGGCGAGCCTGCACACACCCCACCACCCAGCCCCAGATGCTGAGAACCGCCAATGCACCGGTTGCAGGGGTTCCCACCACCAGAAGGGAGCGCGACAGGGGGAAGTAGACCCCACATTAAATGGGGGGCCCAAATTGATCCGAGAGGGGACCACCTAAAATCCAACCCGAGATATAAACAGGCACACAGAGACAGCCCGACAGAGCCTTTGTCGGGCCGTCCATGCGCCCCACCCACCCGACACGACCGCAAGCCGGCCCCAGGCCAGGGGCCAGAGCAGCAGGGACCAGCAGCTGAGGGAAGTCGGTCCAGCACACCAAGGACCAGGCACCCCAAGAGCCCCACACCACAGGCCTGGAGAAGCCCCGGCATGCCACCTATGCACCCCCCCATACACACAGCACCCCCCACCGCGAATGTCACACCAGGCCGACCAACCAGCGCCCTGTCAAAGTGAAGCTATGTCCCCAACCTCCGCTATGCACCACCAACGACCACACACATACAACCACAGCCGACCCCCCCGCCAGAACCCGGCAGCCACCCCAGTCAAAGGGCCGGCCATTGCAACCTGATTGGTCAGTTCTGATAATCAGTTATTTAATCAAAAGAGTGTGGGTGTTCCCGATCAGATTGCATGATGCTCGGTCAATATTATTGGCTCTGGAGCGACCAGAGATCAGCCCAGTTGGCCAAATAATGTGTCAATCAAAAGAGGAAGCTCTACACCCCCATTTTGACTACCTGGTATTTAAAGTCGCTCTACGTTCCTACCCTCATCTATGGTCATGAGCTTTGGGTTGTGACCGAAAGAACGTGATCACGGATACAGGCGGCCAAAATGAGTTTTCTCCGCAGGGTGTCTGGGCTCTCCCTTAGAGATAGTGTGAGAACCTCAGTCATCCAAGAGGGACTTAGAATAGAGCCGCTGCTTCTCCACATCAAGAGGAGCCAGTTGAGGTGGCTCAGGCATCTGGTTAGGATGCCACCTGGACGCCTCCCTGGTGAGGTGTTCCAGGCACGTCCCACCAGGAGAAGACCCATAGGAAGACCCAGGACATGCTGGAGGGATTATGTTTCTCAGCTGGCCTGGGAACATCTTGGGATTCCCCCGGAGGAGCTGGCCCAAGTGGCTGGGGAGAGGGAAGTCTGGGCCTCCCTACTTAAGCTGCTACTCCCGCGACCTGACCCCGGATAAGTGGAAGAAAATGGATGGATGGCATTTAAAGTAGAAACACCTGGTAAAGCGTAGCAGCTGTTTAAAGCATAAAGAAGTCACGACAGCCCACGAGCAGACTGTTGCAAGTTAAAAGGATAATTTAATGTTATAATTGTTCAAATGGAGGCATGTGGGTACCAGAAAAAACAACAGAACTCTCAGTTGGTTTTATAGCCCCACCCAAAAACATTGTTTTCAGGCTGAGCAAAACATACTTCCATTTTTATTTATTTTTTGTTGTTGTTCTAACACATAATGTAAAGACAACACTGAGACACGCAACAAGAACTTTAGTTTAGGCGTTTTAGTGAAAATATTGAGCCACTTCATGCTCCTCTGTCTTTTGAACTGATACGTCTGTGGATTTTTATACTACTTAACTGAGCAGAGTATTAGGGAATCCAACACAAAAAAATGCTAATTGACTTTCTATTTTTATTGCCTTTGTGTTGCCAGCATGTAATTTCAATATATTACATCTCATCAGCAATTAAAGGTGATGCTGAAAAGGTTTCACTCATTTCACACTGTCTTTAAGATCAAGTTGCAAAACATTTTGCTGTGTTTGTGTGTGTAAGGAAAAATGAGAAGGTTCTATCACTGGATTCTCCATGTTGGTACCATACAAAAGATGACTGGTTTTGTTTTACAGTCCAGACCAAAATCCTTAAGAAGTTAATAGTTCTGAACAATGCACATTGACAGGAAGGAATCAGTTCATGTAGGGACATTCCAGTCAAAGTAATAATAATAATAATAATAATGTCATCACAATGTCAGCACTGTATGTTTCCATACAATGGCGAAATTAGTCTCTGCATTTAACCCATCCACCACCAGGTGGTGCAGTGGGCAGCTATTGAAAGCGCCCGGGGGGCATTTTGGGGATGAGGCGTGCTGCCCAAATCAACCCAATGTTTAAACAAATACCACCGAGACAAGAATGAGGTACTAAGAATGAAATAAGATTTATTTTTACCAATTTGTATCTTAGGTCCTGTCTGAAAATAGGTGCAGACAATAGCTACAGAGATTTAAAAACTTCAACATTTAGCTTATTGTTTAGTCTTGATAAGCTTTATCATGTATTTCTACTTTTTTTTTTCATGTAAACATGGGATATTTACCTTGTTTGATGAAGTCAGAAAATGTAAACTGTATGTTATTAATTATGAATAGGAGATTAGAGGCTCCCTCAAGCAATACCTAACAATTAAAAACTCTACAATGCTCCCAGGAGTTCCTCATGAATCCACTGCACAAGAATACACATGAAGAACAAAACTTTTATACAGCATTCCAACTAAAGGCAGATTCATAGAGTCTTTAGTGAGAACCATCAAGGTTTCGTTATCCACTTGCTTTAAAATGTATTTAGTGAACATGGAAGTAACCTGTAGGTACAATGCCATCTATGAAGTACCAAATAATAAGGTACCGGTATGAACCACATAAGCCTGCTACGAATCTGATAAATACCAGGTAGGTACCATGTAAGTACTAGAGACTTACCAGGCACAAATTTGATACCCAGTATGTACTCAAGAAGTACCTGTTATGTATCAGGTACATATCAGATGTGTATCATGAACATACCAGGCACAATGTCAGCTATGCACAAGATAAATATCCAGTATAAGTGCATGGTTTTAACACGTACCCAGAAAGAACCTGGTATATGTATGTGCCAATACATAACTGGAAAGTACCAAGTTTGTTCCTATACTTTTCCAGGTACTATGCAAGTACCAGATATGTACCAGATACTATGCAAATACCTGGTCCTTATCAGCTATGTACCTGGTACCCAGCATGTAGTAAAGATGAATTATGTATTGCTATTGGATATTTTGAAGTTTGTTTTATTATTATTTTTAATTGGGGGCTGCCTAAAGGCAGCTAGCTACTGGTATCCACCTGAAGAGGGTTTTGCTCTTCCTTCAATTTTAATGCGGCCTGAATCACAATGTGCTCCCCCACAAATTGTATATTAAAAAACGACTGACTCAGCACCGTGATGTGTGCTATTACTTTTATTGGCATTTCAAGATACCATTGTAACATAATTTACAAACAAAGATGAATGAACAGTTTGATGGATTTTTTTTTAACTCACAAAGTAATCATCAGATGTAACTCTAGAACTGATTAAATTTTGGAGCCATTTTGATTCAAGAAGAATGCCACAGCTAACTCAGAAAACACAAAAGTGGCTATAACTCAATCAATCTTTGAGTTATTTAGCTATGGTGGTTGCTGAGAGTGAACCCCAGCACCTAGTACTGTCAAATCAAATATTAAAATGGCCGCAACGTGGCAGTCTTCATCAAAATTTCTCCAGGAACTTTCTAGTTATTATTTTTTTATTGCAACTAATTGTAATAAAAATGTATTAAAATTGACATTTTGTTGTATCTCTAGGGTGATGTTGGTCCTCCTGGTCCTCCTGGTCCACCTGGTCCCGTAAGTGCAGTGTTGTGATCAAAATTCACTTAAAAAAAACTTGATTTACAATAAATAGTCATGTTTAATTATAGCTTGTTATAAAATATGCATCACATTTTGATATATACTTTGTATATAAAAGCAAAAAGATGCAGCTAAAAACACATTAATGCATCAACAAATGTTCAAATCATGTGATGTAGGGACCAAGGGTGAGAAATAAACACCAAAACAGTGTTTGCCTTTGCTGTCACACCCCGAACACAGAGCCATGACTTCTTGTAAGCAATTTCCTTTCCTTGAAAGAGCTGCAGATTTATTCTATCTTTAGATGTGTGCAGATTTCTTTTTGCTCCATGTATGAACAGCAGAGCAGGGCTGATAAAAGGCATCAAATACGGGAAGTCTTTGTACGAAAGATGAGATTAGTTGTGTGGAATTTCTCTAAGAAAAGCTTCCTTGTTTCTTTAAGTAATGAAGTCGCTGCTCATTTCCAGCAATCTCCCAGTGAATGATCTTTAGTGATGTGCATAGCATATGATTGTGCACAAAATAACTTAAAAGGCAATAAATGCTGTGATTTCCCAACCACCAGTGGTAGTTTAATCTGTCACTTGGAACAAAAATCAGCTTTATAGTATGAATTAATGAGGGTCACGGAGCACATGACCTATTTGTAATGTCCATAATTGTAAATTACAGGAAATTATTATTTTTTTGTTCTGTGAAGGGGTTCAAGTGCTGCTTTTAGTTGAGAAGCTGATTAAAAATGGGGAAAATAACAAAGTGACAGCATGGAGGAATATCTGACGAATGCTGAAGGTGACTCAGCGCTGTTAGGACTGGAGTGGGAGAACTCATTGCTACGACATTTTAAAGTCAAAACCACACTGTGACAAATCAGCTGAAGTTCTGTGGGGTGGCTATAATGGCTCCAAAGATGTGCTACAACTGCATTTTTTTTTTTTTTAACAGGAACAAAATTAAACTTTTGAAAAGTGTCAAATGGAAACAGCATTGGAGCTGTTGTTTCTCAACGTGAGCGCTTTGGCATTTAGATGACTCTGGCTAATGGGTTTTGTTCTAAAGATCTGCTGCCTATTGAGCCTCTGAAGGCCTTAGACATAAGCTTAGAAACAAAGTTTGATGGCTCTAATTCGTATTCTCATTTTCCTTGCTTGTTAGCTAGTGATTCATATGGAAATTAGACAGCTTAATTACAGATCGAACAAATCTCCCTCCTGGTTTCACTGGTTTCGGTCAAAGCAACAAAAAAGTCTTCTCAATAAAATAGAAAAGATATCAGTGTAGGTGGCTTGAATAGCTGTTTAAAGCATCGAAGTCTCCCAAAGCAGATTGCTCTAAATTACATTAACATTAGAGCATTCATTCCTAGTCCTGTTTTGTAATTGTTTAGTGAATTGTTAGCCTCTGTCGTATCGCGTTCTAGAGCATCCAACAGGAACGACGTGTCATTTATTAAATTAGTTGATTTGAATATTTACTTACAGTCTCAGTCTGTGCCCTCTTCCTTCCCATGGCAGATCATTTTGGCAGATGTTCATTGATTTCCCTTACACTGAAGAAGCAGGGGTTTAGATCATTACCCTTCCTTCATAAACCTTCATGTGCTTCTGTTTATTAGTGATAAAAGCAGCTCTTGATACACAGGTCATCATATCAACCAGTGCCCTTACAGGAGCAAAAGGCTATTTTAAAACTCCAAGACAATCTAGTTTCTATTGCGTCATGCTGTAACAATTGCGGCTATACTCAGATACAAGAACCGAAGTGAACAGATACCAAGAATATGTTTACAGTGTTTATTTACAAGGTGGTAAATAATCAAATGTGGCATGGAGGGAACTGGAACCCTGAAAAGAGTCAGTTTCTTTATTTGTCATTCACATCACATGTGGTACATGTGGTAGAACGGAATTGTGTACACAGGGTCCCAGTTACATCCAACAATAAAATGTAAAAGAAAAACAGTAATAAGATCTAAGATATGAACTAAGAAAAATGTTAACTAAAAATATGCTAAGCACTAATAGGATAAAAACAATACGCTGAACAGCAGCATGAACATGTGTCTGTGTGAGCAGATGAGTACGAATGCACACAGCAACATGAAATAGATCAGCAGCAACATGAAATAGATCAGCAGCAACCTGATGTTTTTTTTTCATAGTTATTATCCTGGTTAGAGATTCATGAGTCTAACAGCCTCAGGGTAGAAGCTGTTCCTCGGTCTTATGGTTCTACACTTAATGCTCCTTAACCTCCTTCCTGAGGGGAGTAGGGCAAAAGTGTGTGTGCTGGGTGAGTGGGGTCCTTCATGATACAGGTGGCCCTCTTCCTGCATCTGGAGGTGTAGATGTCTGTGATGGTGGGGATGCTGACACCAACAGACTTCTGTGCAGCCTTCACTACTCTCTGCAGAGATTTTCTTTCAGTGGTAGGAAGGCATGGAGGCAGCTGAGGAGGCACAGGAGAGCTAGAGTTCCACAGAGGAGAATCAGGGGGACAGGAGGACATCAGGGATTATATACTGTTAGCACAGAGAAATACAAATCATGTTAATACTTAGCTTAACTCACAAGTAAAAGAATAGAACATAACTACCATTGGCAGGTAATGCTCCAGAACTGACTGGATGTCCTCTGCAGCCTTTTTTGTTCCTCTTGCTCATCAAGCTGATGATCCTCAGGTGCTGCTGATTGATGCTTAGCTGTGGCTGCAGACGGCTGACAGAGCAGAACTCCCACACATGCCTTTACAATTAATTTTGATCATCTTTAAAACCTAATCTGATATGCCTGCTTATGTTAAGGAAATGGTTCTATGCAATATTTCACAGCAATTACAAAAAAATTGTCCGATGTTGATGGGAATGAGACCTTCTATTTGACAACAAAGCAGCCAATTTGTTTTCTAATAGCATGTGCAGGTTGATAGATTTTTCAGGGTGACTAATAGAATTATATACCTCGCTCACTTTGACTACACTATTGCTAAAGAGAAAGGTATTCATGTCCAGCATATAGAGCCTTTAATTGGAGAAAAAATAAGCTAAAAAGACTCACAAGCATGCTTTAATCAGGAACAAAAGGATCTGTACAGGTAAACATTCAAATAACCTTTAAAAGCTGAATTAATGTGAGACATCAACGGTTGCAGTGTGCTTATGGACTCTTCCTCCATAAATGAAAGTGCAATAAGAAAATAATGTAAAGAAAGAAATCCAATGTAGAGATAGTGCAAGATTAAAGTTTGCTATTAAATTATTTTACATCTGCAAATCTCAGCTAGTTAAAACTGCACAAGGGAGGATGTGTAGAAAATAACAGCAAAGGTGAGCTAAGCCTGAAACATTAGATCCTGTTTAGACTTTTACTCCAGTTTAGATCAACATTTTACTGAGTGCCTCACATCCAGATCACTTCTGCACTTGCAGATGTGTGTCTGTGCAGCTTGCACATTAAAACATCTCCAGCGTCTGCACCCAAATGAAACAGTGAGCAGTTCAGACAAAACAATCGCCTGTATCATCTGTGAATGCATTGTTTCCCCCTCTCTCGCTGGTCTGTCCTTCTGCTTCCAAAGATGATTGTGGCCATTGTTCACTGTAAATAAAAAGCCGTCGGTCTGCAAGAATCTTTGAACAGGTTATTGTGTTCATGGATTCGTGTACACATAGTGCACCTACTTAGAGTACGGTTTAGTACATGAATATGAAGCTCTTAAGTGTAATATGTTTTATGTTATTATTAGAGCAAATGTCCCTGTTATTTCTAGTTATATTGAGTTGAAGCCAGCAGTACTGTTTTATGTTGTATTTTTGGAACCAGAGTCTGTGTAGTATGATGCCCTGCATAAAGTCCTTAATTCCATGCATCAGTTCAATTCAATTCAGTTAATTTATATAGTGTCTAGTCACAACAGAAGTCATCTCAAGGCACTGAACAGAAACATTCATATATAAAAATAATAATTTAACGTTATTTATCTGAGGAGCAGACTGCTTTGAATTTAACGTCATCACAGAACTCTCATCTTGAGCAAACATGAAGGCAACAGTGGGAAGGAAAAAGTCCCTCATGAGGAAGAAACCTTTAGCAGAACCAGGCTCAGGATAAGCAGCCATCTGCTTAACCGGCTGGGTTTGGTAGGAACAGATACACAATGGCAGGTCAAGAATCACATATTAAGATAGAAATAATATCAAATTAAAACTATTCAATTTTAACAATTCATTTAAGGAAATGAGGTCAATTTGTCCTCTAGTAGTCTAAGCCTATGGCAGCATAACAAGACAACCCTAACTATAGGATTTATCAAAAAGGAAAGTCTTAAACCCAGTCTTAAAACTGGACAATGTGTCAACCCTACAGACATTATCTGGAAATTGGTTCTACAAGAGAGGAGCCTGATAACTGAAAGATCTTCCTCCCATTCTGCTTTTGAAAAATCTAGGAATAACAAGTAAGCCTGCAGTCTGAGGACAAAGTGCTCAGTTAGGAAAATATGATACAATAATATCTCTAATATAAGATGGAGCTAGGTTGTTGAGAGCTTTGTAGGTTAGAAGTAAGATTTTGAATGCAATTCTGGATTTGACAGGGAACCAATGGAGAGAAGCTAAAATTGGAGAGATATGATCTCTCCCACTAACTCCAGTTAAGACTCTGGCAGCAGCATTTTGGATCAACTGAAGAATTTTTAAAGAAGTATTTGGACACCCAGATAATAAACCACTGCAATAGTCCAGTCTAGATGTGACAAGTGCATCAAGTGGTTTTTGGGTGCATTTACACCAGCCCTGTTTAGTCCGCTTTAATCAAACTCTAGTCTGTTTGCCTAGAAAGTCCAGTTTGTTGGGGGAGGTGTAAATGTGCAATCGAACCCTGATGCGGACCAAACAAGTGAATTCTGGTCCACCTAAAAACCTAGGTTTTGGTTTGGTTGATATGAACTCTAGTATGGTTTTGAATGCATTATGAATGCTAGCGGACTGGAGACCGCTCCAAAAGCAGGAAGCTGACTACAGCGCAGGGCATTCTGGGTAAATGCAACCAAAGCAAACGTGCATTTCTCATACCTCTTACGGAGCCGTCTCAGCCGCCTTGTGTGAAAAACAACATTCTCCATGGTCTTCTGCCTCATATTCTGCTCATGCTGAGTCCATTGTTGAAAAAATGTTTGTTTGGCCCATGAGCCACAGACAAAACAGAAATCCTAAAACTGCTAAAATTTGACGCCACTCCATTTTTTGTTTTCATTTTCAGAAGTAAGTTACGCTTAGTGTCTTCTTCAGAGGTTTTCGTGTCGTTTCCTTCAGTAGTTCTTGGTGCAGCGCCACCATAGGCGAGGGGGGGGGAGGACAGGTTGGCTCCATTGACTCAGTGCAGTGTGAATGTGAACTGCACCAGCTGAAAATGTAAACAAATGTTCCAAATTTTGGTCCCAAATCAAACCAAATCTACCGGATTATCAGGTGTGAAAATGACCTTTGTCTCTCTTGTTCTGTCTAGCTGCAGTCACACCAAATCTAATGACAACATGAAGGAGAAATAAGAATTACCTGTCCACGTAAACATTTAATCTTGTCTGATCAAACATACAGTAAGCTCTAAGTGTACAGCTGTGAATCTCGAAGAAGCTTCTTCACACCATCCAAATGTTTATTGGCCACAATTGGCAGATCAGTGCAGAGCATTTACAGAACACTGTCTCTTTCATTACTTCTAGGTGATGACAGCTCATGGATTAAGACAGCTCTCAGGAACTGTAAGCAGCTGTTTATATCACACTACGCCCAATGTTTGCAGATGGTGTCGTATTTTCAGTTGTTCCCTGTTTCAGGCTGCACACTGTCAGTGTTTGATGTGGTCTCTTCTCTCTTGTTTTCTAGGATGAAATGAAGGAAACGACTCAAAAGGGTGAAAAAGGAGACACGGTAACGTCTTTTTCTCATTGCTGAAGATAGATGGAATTTATTGCTACTGATTTTTTTTGATTTTCAGACATTGCCGTCAACATTGCTGTGTGAATAATCTTTCCCATTTTCTTATGTAACATCAACAAAAGTGCTATTGGCTTTTGATTTAGAAAAAAAAGACTATCTCTTGCTGTTCAGCAGTAGAGTTTTACTTTATTCTTGTGCTTTGTAGAAAGGCACAAAGCGAATCCCAGAAAAAGTAATGTGGATGGGTATTGTTGGGATTCCTGAACTAAAGAATACATCTAGTTCAGTTCAACACATAAAAGTCTGCAGCTATTGACCAGACATCAAAAGGCCTCTTCATTCAGTCTAGATCATAAATACCATATTTTTCGCTGTATAAGTCACACCTTTTTGCATAAATTTGCAAGTCCTGAGACTTATACACCGAAGCAACTAATGTATGTTTTTTTCCTCCATATTTATAACCCAATTTTTGGCTGAGATCTGATGATTTCAGTCATTCTGACATGGAAAATATTGTACGCTACCATTTTCAGCCACTAGAGGTCCCTTGACCAATATGGCAAGCCAAGTGTCTCATTAATAGGCAAAAGTGGCTATTAATGAAACACTTGACTTGCCATAGAAAGCCACCTTCGTCTCGCTCCAGAACTCCTGGAGCAAAGTCAAATCAGCTGCATTTCATCACGTCGCCCAGGCAAAATGCAGCTGATTTGACTGTCAAAGTGCATTTATTAAGGAAAAGTTCAACTGAGACACACCTTTACTATAATTTGGAGCAAACAAATAATTGTTTTTAAGTGTTAATCTTGTTAAATTATTGTTAAAGTCTTCCTGCACATGCACCCGCGGCCGCCATTTGGCGGCCAATCGATTTTTGGCACAACACCAGCCACATTTCCAGGTGGTCAACGGTGACACGTAGCAAATGCTACATGTCAACAGTGATGCATAATAGATGCAACTTATATGGTGAAGCGACTTATTTATGTTTTTTCCACTTTATTAGACATATTTGGACTGGTGCGTCTTTTACGGCGGTGCGCCATGTATGGCGGAAAGTACGGTATAGGTTCTTATTTTATTGTCAAGCATTCTGTGTCTGTATATTGAAATAAACTGCCACATGGGAAGTTTAACTTGAGTATGTTTACAGCTGCATTGCAAGAGCCACGTTTGATCGTTCTTCAATGTTAGTTCAAGCACAAATGAGCTCACATTTGACTCAGAGTTGATTGAGACTTAAGAGTCAAGACCTGCTCCACTGAGGCAGAGATGTCCACTTGTCTAAAGGGTAAAGAGGTAATATTTTGATAGAAGACAATAATGAAAATAGATGTCTCCAAGATAAAAGAAAAAGATATCTAGAGATTAATAGACAAAATAGTTGGGCTGAGATATAAATTGTTTTGATCACTTTTAAATACAAAGCATTCTGCATCACTGCGTGGCGAACGCTGTCCATGAGGAGGAAGACATAGAAATTTAAAAAAATGTTTTTTTACCAAACCCCATGCCACTGAACTAATGTAATGGGTGGTGATGCAAGCTGGAGCACTCTTTGTGCTCTGATCCAGACAAATGTAGTAACAAAGAAATATATTCAATTATCTTGCACCATCCACCGGGAATCATAGATTCATTTTAAAAATTAAAGACAGAGTTCCAAATAAAATTGTTTTGGTTTCACTCGGTGGTCAGGACATGTATAGAGGCACGCAACGAGGCAAATAAGACAAACGGGCGTCACGTAAAAGGGCAGAAACTGAGTTCAAATTTTCCAGACAGCCAGGGGCCAAAACAGAAATGGCACGAAGCTGGTGAAGAACAAAACAGCGAGAAGAGTCACAGATTGTGTGTGTATGACCACAACAAACAAGCTGGCAAGCATCCAAAGACCAGGTAAAGTGAGGTAATCTGTCAGAAAACACTGAGATTACACACAGAATAAATGCACTTGTTAAAGATGCGTGCTCACTGCTGTGTAAGTCAACCTCGCACCAAATTCAAACCTTTATATATGTCAGAGCACAAACTCCCAAACGTGGGATTTATTGTGGCATTTAAGACAGTTCTACTTAAAGCCCAGTCCTTTAGGATGGTTTGGTTGTTGTTGGCTTTTCTTGGATACTCTATTAAATGAAAAGTGTAAAAATAAACCAATGCACAAAGCAAAAGGACGACACATTTTAAAATATGGAGATAATCATCAATATACAAAACCATGAAAAATAATCCAAAATATAGTTTCAGAGCCAAATATTTGAATAGATAGTGGAATATACTAACTTGAGTATCACTGTCATTACTTTGATCATTTTAACTATAGGCTTAACGATAGTAGTTTGTACTTTGTGCCACAGCAGAGATTTTATAAATAAAGAATCCATCTAAATATTGGATTAAGTTGAATCTGCAATTGAAAGAAGATTTCTAACTGTATTAAAGCCATCAGTGTACATGATTGCTTTAAAACAGGAGACAAAGTTTTTTTTTTTTTTAAGTTAGTATTATGTATTAATATTGCTGATTTTGCCATTGAGTGGTCTCTCATTTCCTGTTCTGTTTCCAGGGGGAGAGAGGAGTTCAAGGACCCCAAGGTGTAAAGGTGACTTATTAAAGACCTGGAGCTTTCACTAAAATTTAAACATCAGTGTCCACTGCTGACAAAAAGAATGCTCCAAAGTCCTTTATTTTAACAAAGAACCCATTCTTTACAAACTTCAGAGTCTGAGGGAGTGAACCAGCAGGTCACAATAGATTAGATTAAAGATTGTTGGTCAAAAGTCATTTTTGTTGTAGAGAAGTTTCCTTCGACTGACATTTTGTTAAGCCGAAGCTAAACAGTGGTCCCCACTATGAGCTGAACTCCGAGGAAGATAAAATATCTAGTGTCACACAATATGCGATTTATTTCCAGCTTAAAAAACTGTTTTTTTTCTTCATACCTAAACAATTGTTTGAGTGTAGAAACGTTTCAATATATTTCTAATTTAGTAAGAAAGCACTGTATATGAATTTCTCTCAGCGTGTGTAGCAGATCACAAAGATAAAATGTTTTTTTCTCCCACGCTTTTCCTGCCCCTCTTCCCCTCGTGCTGATGATTTGTTGTGAACAAGGGAAGCATCGGGCCACCGGGGTTAAAGGGAGACCAAGGGCCAGAGGTAAGCCTCGGCATCTAAAGTCTGTAATGCATGAGTCAATGCTGTGTTTGAACAGTTGTTTAATTTGTAAAGCTATGGTTTCTATACTATCTTAGATTAAGAAGGGATGAACAAAAATGTAAAGAAAATAACTATGACAAGATAATCAAAAGCTGAAAGCTTTTCTTCTGGGGGTGTCCCATCCTGGTCCTCAAAGGACACTATCCAGCACGTTTTAGAGGTTTCCCTGCTCCAACACACCTGATTCACTGACTAATTTACCTCTTCATGTTCTGCAGAAGTCTCGTAATCACCCATTGATTCGAATCAGGTGCGCTGGAGCAGAGGAACATCAAAAATATACAAGATGGTGGCCCTGAAATACCAGGATTGGACACTTTGGTTGTAAAGTACGGTCATGCTCCCATGGTGATATAAATATCTGCTAAAACAAGCAGTATGCCAATCTCCCCCATCGCTGAAGGATTTAAATAGTGAATGTTTGCAGTTTTCGATATGAGTGTTTTTCTGGACAGGAATTGAACTGGGAATGCAAGTAAACCTTAATGCTTTAGGTGAAAGATATTCAAGTGGGAGGGATTTACACTAAAGAAGAACAGAGATTAAAAAAAAAGTTCACATCTGAGACTGTGCAGTTTATATATATATACATATATATATATATATATATATATATATATATATATATATATATATATATATATATAAGTATTGTCATCATTGTATATACATTATATATGTATTGTATATTTACACATCAAAATTGAAGTCATCGCCTAACTTAAATTTTAAGTATCACGTACACAACACACATGGATGAATAGAGGGTACAGTATTTGTTTGCTCTGCGATGGGGGAAATAAGATAATTGGCAAATAAAGAACAATGCATATAGGATAAATATTGAACATTTTAATCATCTAATGTGGAGCACAAACATTTTCAAGGCCGTAAAATGTGCATGTGAAATTAAACTGTAAATTTTACATTATTATACATTTTTTTTCTTTTAAGAGCTTAAAACCCTTCTATTCTGAAACTGTGAGAAGTCAGTGTTTGCAGCTTGGCCAGCTGAGTCACAAAACTCACACTCGGAGGATTGTGTCATCAAACAACAGGCAAGACAATCGCCCAAAGAATGTTTCTCTTTATGTTTGTCAGGGGAAACAAGGCCAGCCCGGACTCCTCGGACTCCCAGGACTCCCAGGCGAGCCTGTGAGTAGCTCTGGCACTAAACACCAGCACTTCATGTCAAGCCTTCTTTTTTCCTCCTCATGGCCTTATCTGTCACCTTGACATATCCTCTACTCTCCCAACTGAGTCTGACAAAATAAAGAGAGAGATAAACAGATACATCTCAACAGGCAGAGACAGAGAACAAGTCAGGGAAATATAAACATCCCATTTTTTTTTACACAGGTGATCAGTAATCAAATTTAAGAATTAAGTAGTGGAAAGAGGCAAATCTAAGCGCTTTATGTTAGCAACGCAGGCAGCAGCCCAATCTGTTCCCTGCACCTGCTGCGGTAATGAGCATCTGTCTTTATTCAAAAGCAGGGAGGGAAAATAGGCATTTCATAAATCCTGGCTGAGGGAAGTTTAGCTGGAGCACCGCAGCTCGCTGAAGCAGTGAGGAGGAGGAGATAAATGTGTGTGTGGAGATGAAAGCTGGCTGATAGATGTGTCTCTATTCACCACTATTTACAGGGTTTACCAGGGAAGCCAGGGGCGCCTGGAAGAGATGGCCTGAAAGGAGAAAAGGTGGGTAAACATCAAATCAAGTCCTCACCTCAAAGACAAATATGAACCTAAGATCTTTTATCACAGGTTGAACACGGCAGACAACTTGTGAAGACACTTTTTCAGATTACTCACCCTGAACGCCATCCTCAGTTATGCTGTAACCTCTCATGTTAGATGCCTCTGACTACTCTGGTGTTTGCAAATACATTTCACCCAGAAGGACCCTGAGCAGAGGGCGCAAAGTAGAAAAGTAAAAAACGATACTGAATTGCTAATCTTTGAAGAGTACATTTGTTAATAAATGTAACAGATTATGTGACGTGACATTACAATAAAGCTTGTATTGTCCATTTTGGACAAACTATTTTAAAGCATTTCTCCCTTTTAAAATACTGATCAGTTGCAATGCTCTAAATATTAGATTAATTTCAAACTACCAAAAAGTAGGCACTATCATTTACCCATTCGTCGTTCACATCTGCTGTTCCACTTGTAGGGGGATTCTGGTGTTACAATTGGGCCTCAAGGACCTCCTGGCCCCAAAGGCGAGCCTGGAGAACCCGGTGGTAGTTATACGGTAAGTGTTATGAGTTTAAATGATCCTCGAGTCAAAGGTGGCAAAAGCAGAAATATGAAGTGAAAGACAGGACCTTCTGCAACCTCTAATCCTGATGACTTGCACATGCATGTATTATTTGGCAGTAGGTAAGGACAATATGGGGTCAGTTGTTTACCGAAGAGCTCTTTTTCCTTGTATTTATAGATTTGGTGTCTCCTTGCCCCTAAATTTAAGTCACAAGAGGTTTAAATTATTTTTTAAAATATTTAACTACAGAAAAGGACACAGATTTAAGAAGTCATTATCACTTGTCACCGACACCTTTTATTTTAATGGATGCAACATGTTTTCATTTGCTAATCTTCCAAAATGTCATGAATCTTATTTAATTTGCTTTAGATGTGAGCATATCAGGTTACTGTTTATGCTTTTAAGAAAAGACTGAAAATAGTATCAATCCCAATATGCTGAAATACTACAAACTGGACAATACAATAGGTTTTTTTTTATGACAATAGAAACATTTGGACAGCAAAGCACCATGCTAAACATGCAAAACACTTGAATACTGACAAGACGGAGGTTTTAGTTTTTGAACCTGAGAAACTTAGGAATGATTTTTTTTTTCAGTCTTTCGCTCTCCTTGGATGGCATTAATCTGGACTCCAGCTCTAATGTTAAAAATCTTGGTGTTATTTTTGATCAGGACATGTCTTTTATCCCCCACTTTGAAAACATTACTAGAACCGTCTTCTTCCACCTGCGTAATATCTCTAAAATTAAAAACATCATATCTAAAAATGATGCAGAACAACTGGTTCATGCATTTGTCACATCTAGACTGGACTATTGTAATGGTTTGTTATCTGGGTTTCCAAATACTTCTTCAAAAAGTCTTCAGTTGATCCAAACTGCTTCTGCCAGAGTCTTAACTGGAGTTAGTGGGAGAGATCATACCTCCAGTTTTAGCTTCTCTCCACTGGCTCCCTGTCTAGTCTAGGATTGAATTCAAAATCTTACTTCTAACCTACAAAGCCCTCAACAACTTAGCTCCATCTTATATTAGAAATCTTATTATTCCATATTTTCCTAACAGAGCACTTTGCTCTCAGACTGCAGGCTTACTCGCGGTCCCTAGAGTTTCTAAAAGCAGAATGGGAGGAAGATCTTTCAATTATCAGGCTTCTCTCTTTTGGAACCAATTTCCAGATCCTGTCTGTGAGGCTGACACATTGTCCAGTTTTAAGACTGGGCTTAAGACTTTCCTTTTTGATAAATCCTATAGTTAGGGTTGGCTTGTCATGCTGCCTTAAGCTTAGACTACTAGAGGACAAAATTACCTCATTTCCTTAAATGATTTGCTAAAATTGATTATTTTTCATTTGATATTTTTCTATCTTAACATGTGATTCTCGAACTGCCATTGTGTATCTGTTCCTCTCAAACCCAGCTGGTCAAAGCAGATGGCCGCTTGTCCTGAGCCTGGTTCTGCTAAAGGTTTCTTCCTCATGAGGGAGTTTTTTCTTTCCACTGTCGCCTTATTGTTGCTCAAGATGAGAGTTCTGTGATGGAGTTATATTCAAAGCAGTCTGCTCCTCAGATAAACAGTGTTAGATTATTATTTTTGTGTATGGATTTTTCTGTTCAATTCCCTGTGATGACTTCTGTTGTGACTTGGAGCTATTTAAATAAACTGAATTGAATTGAAATGCTGTTTTAGCTGTTTTTCACACTTCGTAAGTAACATCAACAGTGATACTAAACATAATACATTAAACTAGACATTTAATGCCTGTTTTGACTATAAAACCTGTGTTACTGATAAAACTCCCCTTATGTTGTGGAAGTAGATGATTTGCACAGCTAATTCCATATGAAGTTTGCCAGTGAAGAGTCTCAATTTGAGGGCAGACAAAAGGAACTGAGACACCTCTACCCCTTGGCGTGACAATGCTAAGTGTAGTGCTAAAGCTAATAGAGGGTGACAAGGAGTGACCTTTTCAAATATTTTGATTGAAGGATGAGCACTCCTCCTGTCTGAGTGTCAGCAGCCCACACAAATAAAAATTCAGAAAGTATGTCCTCTGTAGATGATATAAAGAGTGTGCTATGGAAGAAATCTATGGACATGGGGATATGTTC